CGCTCCCTAGCCTAAGCTGCAGGGGTGTTTTCTCACAAAGGAAGGAGGGAGAATGAACAGGGCAGTATTGTGGGTGGTACGGGCGAGGCCATGGGGAAAGAGGTAGATACAGAAGTGGTTGACTCCCAGGACCCCTGCACACTGGCCTTCTTGGGTGTGTTTCTGTTTGTCGTATTTGATGCTGAGCTTCTGAGGCGAAGCGCAGCTTCTCGTTTAGTGACCGCTGCCCTTGAGAAAGCCATGGGGCCTTGTACCTAGTCTCCAACGAACTTAATAACCAAGAAAGGAAATTAAAAACAAAACTTAATTAACTCAAAAACACCTCAACAACAACAAGGCAAAAACCAAACAAATTTTAAAAAAACGCCAAAGAAAAAACTTAAAATCCTTTTTTTGGCACTGTTTGCTAAAGGCAGTGCTCATTCTCACATAAACATGCACGTGATACAGCTCAGAGTCCTTGAAGAGTCTAGCCACATGTAGCGATGCTATCGGAGAGTGGCACCCCAGAGGATGATAGACTCTCTTTTTGACTCCTCTCTTTTCACCACTCCCGAAGTATCTACTGCTTTCAGTGTATTCATGGACTTAGTTCTCTGATGGGTCCCTGACAAAGAGAAACACGTCTTTCACAGTTAGGAGCTGGAGGTTAGAATTGCGGGCACCAGCTCTAGGGCAAGGCCTTCCCTTTCTGCTGGTTCTGCGGAAAAGTCCTTGTTTCCTCCCAGCGTCTGAGGGCCTGGCCTTCCAGAGCTCCCTGTGTCTTGCCATTCTCCTGGGTCTAGGAGGTTCTCAGCACAGGGATCTGATCGAATTCAAGGTGTTGCATTTCTTAATCACCTTAGAGCTGATTGACCGATCACGTAAGATCCTGGGGGTGATAACATCATTACTTAACTAGAAAATTGCATTATTACATAACTTTCAAACCACTGAGAATCCTGGCCCAGCCAGGTTGGGGTGGGGGAGGGAGGCACAGTTCCATTGATGGCATTCGTCACTCCCATGTGTTTCTTTATATGTTTCGTGCATATGTGTGCCTTCTTTGGCACTAAATGCTACCGCTCTCCTTGTTTCTGAGCTGTCCATGAAGAATGCCATCCTGCACGCATGCCTGGACAAGTTGCTGTTCCCTCGTGACAATTTATACATGCATAGCTCTGATTCATTAGTCTTCTGAAACTTGAAAAAAAATGATCCCTGCTTACTGTCCCATCCTATGACTGTCCATAAGACGTGTCCAATCTGTAATTGGTGGACATTTAATGTGCTTCCACGTTTTCACAATTTCAAACAATGTTAGGTGTCTGGGGATTTTCTAGGGCATAGTCCTAGGATCGGAGTGCTAGGGTACAGGGTCTGAGCACCTTAAAACTTGCCATTTGCAGCTGCCCCATGCGATGAGGCTGTTGGGAGCCCTACTGTCTTCATTGGCTGATTTTTTGGAAGTAGATCAGCAAACTTTCATCCTAGTCCATCTGAGTCTGACAGCCCTTCTGAAATCTGTTCTGCATCGGGGCACCACTGACATGATGGTAGGTGTTCAAGAGATTCATTGGCCTGGCATCAAACCCAGGCTTCTCACATCGAACCACCAATGCTCTGGCAGATCTAGATATTGGCAGGTTGGTTCTATAGTGACCGCACCCCTTTGTGACTCCCACTAGTACAAGGGAGTCAAGGGCTCCCTCCGATCCACATCTTCCCAACGCTTGGCATTGCAGGCTTAGCCTTTAGCCCGTCTGACGGTGCCCTCTCGTCTCGTCTTGGCCCTCTGTAGGAGGCAGCGAACAAGAAGGTTGATGTGCTCCAACAAGAATACATGGAAATGAAGGCGTTCATTGATGCCTCAGAGGCCAACTCTACCCGGAAGATAAAGGAAGAGGAGAAGCGGGTCAGCAACAAGTTGGACAGCATTTTCCAAATCCTGTTCAAGAAGAAGCATGAGATCCAGACCCTGAAGGAGGAGTTTGAAGCGGCCTTGAGTAAGGGGGACGAGTTTGAGTTTCTGGAGGTGAGTCTTGGCGAGGTGTGTTAGTCTGGGCGTGTTAGTCTGGGTTGACTAGAGAAACCAAGTCACAGACACTCGTGGGTGTAAGAAAGAACTTTGTATACAAGAGCAATTGAATAGTGAGAAAACAGCCCAGCCCAGTCCAGATCAAGTCCATAAGTCCGATATCCCATGTGTCCAATACCAATCTATAAAGTCCTCTTCAGACTCATGCAACGCATGCAATGATGCCCAATGCAGGAAGACCACTGGTCACTGGGTAGGAAGTCTTGTGGATCCAGTGGCGGCATAAGCATCTCAGCGCTGGCAGGGCTCTCCAGGTGGCTCCTCCAGCTCAGGGCTCTAGCCTCGCTCCATGCGTCTTGTCAGCTGCAATGTCTCCCAGGGAGTGAGCATGTGTCCTCTCATGAGCTATTTATCTCCTTAGCGCCCCCAAATGAGCTCATCAAGCTGCAACCTGATTGACAGGCTAACCTCCACCCCTTCACTCTTAAGTCTCAGAAAGTGACAACAGATGATGTGACTACCACACAAGGGAAGTCATTAATGGTGAGCATCCCTTCCGCCTAGCTTCTTGATAATGATGTAGGTGCTGTAGGGCACTGCGAAGGAGTTGTGAGAGTGAGAGGCCACCAGGAGCACCCCTGTGACACCCAGTCTCATTTCCACGGTGCATAACCTCCTCATCAAGCTAGTGGCTTGTAACAGCATGCATTTATAATCTCACAATTCCTGGGTCTCAGGGTTTAGCGGGTTGTCTACCTCCGGGCACACAGGCTGTGTTCTGGATGCTGGCTGGACTAGGAGCTTAGGTCCAGTGGTTGCTGACAGACATTAGATTCAAGCAGTTATAGGACCAAGGTTCCTGGTTCCTTGCTGTCTGTGAGCCAAGGGCTGCTGTCCTCAGCCAGAGGCCCCGCAATTCCCTGCTCACAGATCCCTCTCCTGATTTGGTAGCTCACTTCAAAACCAGCAGGAGAATCACTCCCTCCAGGAAGGCCAAGTCCCTCTTGTAGGGGCTTTTACCTTCTACAGCCTACCCAGGACACTCGCCCTGCTGAGAACCTTAAAATTGGTTGATTTGGAACCTTACTTGTATCTGCAGAATTCTTTCACCCTTGCCACATCATCTACGCCAACCATGGTGGTGATCCCCCATCCTATTTACAGGAAGGTGGGAGTGATACCCCATCCTATTTACAGGAGAGTGGGGTGTGGGCTGCACACGCCCGCCATCTTGCTTGTATCCTTGCTCTACAAGACCCCAGGAAGTGTTTCTGAGACGTAGATTTCCCCTGCCTCCCCACGCCCTTTCTGGCTTCTTGTTCTTTACCAAGGCTCACTGGGTCCTTGATGACCAGGCCATCTTTGCCAGCAGCTCACTGCCTGTTGCCAAGCCCAACCGGGGACGCACTGTTCTGTGCTTCCTGGGCATCGCTTGGGAATGCTGTACCTTCTCCACCCAGAGACCCCATGGCCTTCTTCAAGCTGCCACGACAGTTCCCCATCTTCCTTATTCCATCAGTGGAGTTCCTGAGCATGCTCACCAGTGTGTTAGGCAGGGTTCTCTCGAGGAACAAACCCAGGACACATGATGAAAAGGATAGGTTTGTACAGCAAGAAGGAATAGAACAGCTAATTTGTCCACACAACAGTGCAGAAGGCTCAGTTCAACTCACTTTTGTGGAAGAGTTAATATACTGAAAGGAGGGGGCTTTGGTCCAGGGTCAAGGAAGCAGACAGCAGTGTCTTCCTGCAGGCAGCAGGGTGAGTCAGCAACAGTCAGTAATACAGGAGCTTAGTGAAGCAGGCCGGATGGGATATTGAACTCAAGCAGTGTAAGGGGACGGGATCCACCAGCCTCAAGCCCAAGTGATGTGTGCACCAGCAGTGTGGCAAAGAAGGACTTGAAGGAGCCTCGGCTGTGGCCACATGGACCATGGGTTGGCTTGACCCACAGGTAGTGTAGCTCACAGGTTGAGGCAGAGGGCTAGCTAAAGCAGCAGCACGCTGGTCCGATCACCAGAGAGCACGAGAGATGGGGGCGGAACTTGCAGAGCCATTTATCTCGTTGCCCTCCAATCAAGCTGTGACCTGATTAAACTCCGCCCACACGTTCCCGTTGACCTAGTGGGCACGATAAACCTAACTATCCCAACTGGCCTCCACGATGGCCTTCAGGATGGCGTGTTAGCCATCCCTATTTTCACGTCTGCTTTGACGACTACTGAGTTACTGTGACTTTTGGCTGGGCCCACCCCTTCTTACTGCCCTCTTCTGCATTGCTCGTTGGGGGCCTGCCAGGCAGGGGGTATTGGGTGAGCTCAATTGATGGGGTCACCTGCCCGGTAACACAGTGGGTTCCGGGGAAGTTCCTGGAGGCCCTGGGAACCTTCTCTTCCCCGTTGACAAGCTTCTTGCCCATTGCCTGTCCCGGATGCCATGAGGGTTCATCCTCAGTGCTCGTTACTGTTCGTTGGCCTGGCTGCTCCCCTGGACTTTCCCAGCCAGAGCTGGTATAGCGGGAAGCGCATCGCCATGGTGTGCTGATGACCAGGGACCCGAGCTCACCCCTGCTCCAACGGGCAGAGTTCCTATCAGGCTGCTAACTTGCCAAGTGCTAGCCCTCAGCTTCCGTTCCCAGCTCCGGGTCGCCGTGGTGGGTTTCCCGAGCCTGTCGTTTCTGAAGCTGATGGGACTGAGCACCCATGGGCCCAGCAAAACTCCTCCTGAGAATGGAGCCCTGAGACTTGGCTTCTCCTAAGCGACCTGCCCTAACACCCCTCCCCCACCCTGGCCCGTTCCAGAAAGCCTCCAAACTGCAAGGAATCTCCACGAAGCCAGTCTACGTGCCCAAGGTCGAGCTGAATCAGGAGCTGATCAAGGGCGTCTGTCAGGGCACCGTTGACCTCAAAAACGAGCTAAAGAGGTACATTAGGCAGCACCAGGAGAAGAAGCCTGAGGATGTCCCCAGTCCAGGTGAGAGTGAGTAGCGCCTAGGCCTCCTCCCCGGGGTCCTGCAGCTGGTTGGGACCCCTCAGCAAGCTTTCTGCGGGGAGGAACGGGTCCGAAGGAGGGCCATGATGCGGCGTCCTGGGGCCCAGTCACCCTGAAACAGTCACTTCCCTGGCGTGCAGCTGGGGAGCCTTTGGCTCATCCTGACTTTATGACCATCCCTACTAGAAAATTCTGAGGTGGCATCGGCTGCTGTTGTGATGGGCCCTGGCCGTCCCAGACAAGCTCTTTTGGAGTGTGCTCATTGAGGGTTTTGTGATGGATTTCAAAAGGGCTTGGCGTGCTCAGTGTCTTTGGCGGGGAAATGCCTCGTTTTGGAGGACAAGATGAACCTGACATCCTCCGTGATGCTCCCACTCCGTCTCCTCATATCCAGCCCATTCCTGGAGTTTGCTTCTTAAAGACCTCCTGACCCAGCCCCTCAGTCCCTCCCCCAGCCGCCGCTGCCACCAGCCTGCTCCCAGGCGCCACCACCTGTGCCTGTGTCAGCTTCTGCAAGGGGCCATCTGCCTCTGCTCCTGCTGTGGTCCTAGAGGGACGTTGAGCATGCAAATCTCCTCTCCTCCCTGGCCCTCCCTGCTTCAGGGTCTCTCGGCTGCTTCTGGATTACAGGCCAGACTCTGGACTCTGCATTTGACTCCCTCCCTGGACCCTCTTTCTTTCCATGCTCCGGTCCTCAGATGTGCCACAGGACCTTGGCACGTGCTTGCCCTGATAACTAGAAGGCTCTAAGCCCACCACCCTCTCCACTGAACACCTTCCGAAACTCAGCGGAAACGTGACATTTCTCTGCCAGCCTCCCCTGCCTCCTCAGCCATCACCACAGGAGGTCTTAGGGTCCTTAGCACCCCTGTAGAGCCCTTTGCACATCTGCCCTGTGACCCCTGTCTGTCTCCCCCACGGGAGGATGCTACTTTTTAGGGCAAGACTGTGTCCTGTCTCGCAGGCCTTGCTGTCTCTCCAGTGCTTGGTATATCAGACCTCTGGGGCCTTCGAGGGAGCAGGCCTGAGTCTACACTTGGTCAGACAAGTGTCCTTGCAGGACAGTACCTCTGAAACCAGGCATGCAGCTCCGTGGACAAAGCGATGGATGAATTAGCCAGGCCTCCTTTTTGACCCGTGTCTGCTATTGGTGATCCGAGGCCTGGGAGAGGGGGAGGAGAGAGAAAACCATTTGGCAGGAAGCAAACGTTGGTTTGGTTCAAACACTACACGCCAGGCGACTTGGTTTGCTTCGGTGGCCACGTCAACCATGAAGAGGCGTGGGATCCTCCCTGTCCTGCACCTGGGAGAAAGCAAGCTCAGAGAGGTCCCTGAACTGGATAGTGACGGAGACAAGACTTGCTCGCAGTGACTTCCTCTGTCGGAGAAGAGAGGGAAGCACATCCAACTGGCCCTTCTAGTACCTTCTTTCTATCTCTTGGGCAGGCCAGTCGAAAGGGCTGTGTGTATAGCCCTCCACCTCTCTGCCCGGGGTGCACCGGGCTGCTTGCATTGGTGGGAAAGCGCTCTATCAATGAACCCCTTCTTCTCTGGTGCAGGTGACTCCAGAGAGCGTGTCCCGCCCTCCGCCACCAAGAAGAAGCTTCCCAGTAAGTAACTCCACCCCTGTCTCCATGGCAGCAGCACAGCTGTGTTTGGCAGATGCCTAGTGAGACACTCACACCAGTGTCCCTGCTTCTTCCAGGCCCCCCAAGCCCATCCCAGGGGGTAGAAGTGGCACAAGTGCCCATGGGAATTTAGAGGAGGTGCCCTGCCATCCCTGGGCTACCTGGAATTGTTGGCCCACCAAGTCTCTGGCTTCTTTGCAGCATGGGGTTGTAGGCCTTGGGCAGAGCCCCCTGGAGAAGGTCAATAGTGATCTCTGATGACCCGAGTCCACTCTTGTCCTGTGACTGCTGAGTTCTAATGTGCTTCTGCTGGCACAGCGTTTCTCAGCCTTTCTTACATTATCATTCTTGTCACCCCCAAGCCTGTTGAAGTATTTCCCCCAAACTAGAGCTCCCACACCCAAACCCACTGCCAGTGAGTCAGTGTGGACTCCTGGTGATCCTGCGTAGGGTTCTGAGATGGGTACATCTTGGCGGGCACAGCCTCATCGTTCTCCGGAGGAGTGGCTGCTGGGAGTGGTGGACAGGCCACAGTGGAGGGAGAGCTGTGGTGGTTAGGGAGGCACCTGAGCCTGGGGTCCTCTGGTCAGAGAGGAGTGGGTGGTGAGTGAGACAGCCCCCGAGGCACTCTGCTGAAGGGTCGGGGGAAGCAGTAAGTGGGGGCATGCAAGGTCAAGGGAGGGGCAGTGGAGAAACGGAAGATGGGACAGAACAGGCCACAAGACCCCAAACACTCCCTGTCCACGCTGCTGTTGAGCTTGAATGTGCATCACAATCACACGGGTCTTAAGATCCGGCCCTCCCCCTAGAGCATCCCGTTCCCAAGATCTGGGGTGAGACTTGGGAACCTGATCTCAAAGGTCCCAGGTGCTGCCACTGGCTTGGGGACATACTTTCAGAAGCACTGTGCAAGCAAACCCGAGTTCTACAGACTCTAGAAACTTCTAAAAAGCATGTCTATCTAGCTAGCATCTATCTAGCTATCAATCAATCTGTCATCTATCTATCTGATATCTAGCTATCTAGCTAGCATCTATCTAGCTATCAATCAATCTGTCATCTGTCTATCTGAGTGACTCTGCTTTGCTGTCTGAATGTTCTCCTCTTCTGAAGACAGAATTGACCTGTAACATGTATCCTCATTGCCCAAATCAAGATACAGAACTTTTCTCACTCCAGCGATTTCCCTCCTGCTCCCGTGGGTCCCTCTTGCAACAACCACCGGCCTGGTTTCTGGCACTGTCGGCCCCAGGCGCCCTCTGATTGCTGACCCCCCAGCTCCTTCAAGCTCACAGGAGGCCCACCCTTCCTTGGACGGGCCGGTTCATGCACACAGACGCGTTGATGGTCTTCGGAAAGTGTCCTTGTGTGGCGTTTTATCTTACGTCTAAAAACTTTCTTTTTCAGAAGACGAAAAGAAGCCCAAGAAACCCAGTAAGTCCTGCAGTTGTCCCTCTTTCTGTTTCCGAGACTAGCCAGGCACAGCCACAGCTGGCCTGTCCTATCGGAGTTCTGTGAGGGGCCTGCGTTTACGGGAGCTCTGTCCTGACCGGTCTGTAGGGATAAGATGGTGGGCAGAAGCCCCGCCTGGGCTCCCCTGTGCCACCTTGGCAAGCGTGTGTGGGTGTGCACTTGTGTGTAGGGGGTGTGTGTGTTTCTTGGAAAGCAGCTTTGGAAGGTGCCCTGCATCCGGCTGCCCTCTCATCGCTCCTCCTCTCTGCTCCGCAGCTGCTGTTCCTGCACCATCGAGCAAGGTGCCAGAACCAGCCGATCCCGAGGGTGAGTTCTCGTGGGCAAGGGGTGGTGGGGCTTCCGGTCCCCAGTTGTTCTGAAAACACCTGATTCCTCTCTCCGCCACAGCCAAAGGCACCGCGCCCCCGCAGAGTGCATCCCTCAAGGCCAAGGAGCTGGAGGTCTTCTTAGCCAAGTCCAGACCCGAGCTCCTGGAGTGTGAGTTGCTCCTTACCCTTGCCCGCCCGCCGCATCGCCCAGCGGCACCCTGGGGCAGCTACTCCCTTCACCAGCCTTCTTCCTCACCCTGCCTGAGAATCAGCCCCGCCTCCCCGCCCTTCTGAGCCAGCTGAGGCTCCACCATCAGTTCCTTGACCTCCGCTCTGGCTGCCCCATCTGTCTGGCTATCCCACCCCCAACCCTGGCCGCCTCCAACACACCCCTGTCTCTGGGCCTTGCTTGTGGGACCGTCCACTCCACAAGCCCTGCCTCAGGCCCCTCTGGCTCGGGCTTGTGTATCTTACACAGCACCTGGCACGTGCTTGGGGCGGCGGGGTGGATGGAGAGATGGGTGGTTGGCTGACTAGAACGAGCGGGTGGCTGATGGATGGCTCTTGGGACATGGGTAAATGAAACAAATCCACCCCTGGGCCCGCCTGGGGCATGGTGTACGAGGGAGAGCCCTGAGGGCCCTTGGGATCCTTCTTTTCAGACGCGACTAAAGTCATCTTGGATTTCAACACCGCCCACAGCAAGGTGGCTCTGACGGAGAACTTCACCATGGCGTCAGTGGCGGACACCCCCCAGAACTACCGGCCCCATCCGCAGAGGTTCACCTACTGCTCGCAGGTGCTGGGTCATCACTGCTACAAGAGGGGGGTCCACTACTGGGAGGTGGAGCTGCAGCGGAACAACTTCTGCGGCGTGGGCATCTGCTACGGCTGCATGGAGCGGCAGGGCCCCGAGAGCCGGCTGGGCCGGAACGACACCTCCTGGTGCGTGGAGTGGTTCAACACCAAGATCTCTGCCTGGCACAACAACACGGAGAAGACCCTGCCCTCCACCAAGGCCACGCGTGTCGGCGTGCTCCTCAACTGTGACGCCGGCTTCGTCATCTTCTTCGGCGTCACCGACAGGGTCCACCTGCTGTATAAGTACAGGGCGGACTTCAGCGAAGCGCTCTACCCGGCTTTCTGGGTGTTCTCCTCGGGGGCCACGCTCTCCATCTGCCCCCTCAAGTAGGCTGGCCGCGAGGCACCCACGGAGACCTGCCCGTGGAGTGCCCAGGGCCTGGGGGGAGAAGGCCGCCCCAGCAGGTGCTCCCTTGGAGAACATCCCGAGAGTCCCCCAAGGGTTAAAAGAGAGAGAGCGCAGGGGGAGGGGTGTGGCAGGGAGAGGTTGGGTGGTGGTGGGGTGGTGGGTGGCAGTGTGTCTGCCTCCTGGCACCTTGATTTCCCCAGGCAGGGGTGACCTCCTCCCACTTGCTAACTCTCTGGGCTGGGGAGCAGGGGGACAGGCCGCTGAGAATAAAGCCCTCTCTGTGTCCCTTTCTGCCCTGGCGGAAGCCCGGTCCCTCGTAGATCACGTGGCTCGGGCTTCTTTGCCCTGTGGGGCAGCCTCCAGAACTCCGGGCTGCCATGACTCTCCACAGCGCTGTGTAACTCAACAGATTAAAAAAGAAAAAAATTCCCAAGTCCCCGAATTTCAGTAGGACCCATTCCCCAGCCCAACATGTTGGGGTTGGGGCGGTTACTGGGCCTTTTCTCTCAGTCCTTCTTGGTGCTCAAGGGGGCTGTCACAGCAACCCTAACCTAAGGTGACCAGACGTCCCGCTTTTGGCGGGACAGTCCCGATTTTTAACAATTTTTCCTGCGTCCCGCGGCGTTCTAAAATCCCAATTTTTGGAATGAATGCACGACAAGCTAGGGTATTTGGTTTTTGGCTGCCATGTGGCTATTTCGCCAGGATATAAGTTTTATCAGTGGTGTTCTGATTTACCAATGCTAAAATATGGACACCTTACCCTAACCCCAGAGCCACGGTGTCCCAGAGAGACAAGCCCCCTTCTCCCTGCCACCCGGCACAAAGCCTCACCCTTTCTGGCCCCTTCATTTTAAATGTTTAGTTGGACAGAAACTTTCTCAGTCTAAGACCTTAATCCATAACGTGAATTGGCCTGGTTGGGCTTGTCTTGTGTTTCAAGGTCAACGTGACCCAGGCCCAACTTTGGCCAGAGCCATTCCCCTGCACTTCCAAGTTTGTATAGGAGGCAGCTCAGCAGGGTAGCCATGGCTTTGGCTTTGGCCACGGAGTCTTGCTGATGAAGTCTTTCTTCCTACAGTTTGGGGTCCAGGGAGGGACAAGGAACACTACTGGGTCAGAGTCAAACCATGCTTCTCCCTTGATCTGGGTTTAACGACAAGGTGGGTGGCTTGTTCTGACATCATCTTGCCTTCTTACCAATAACCCGCCAGTCAGGGCTGTGAGCTATTGGATGGGCAGGTGATAATACTTCTACGGCTAGCTAGTCTAGTCACGCAGACAACTGGCCTGCTCTCTGAGGCCTGGTGCAGACAAGCTGGGCATGGCTGCCTACTGGACCAGACTAGGTCACTGCATGGGATGGTAACCTCTCACAAAAGGGCTTTACAGCAGATCAGATGGAAAACGGCAACAGTCCTATTTGTCTTTGACCACAGGCTGCTGGCCCAACATCGACTCTGTGTGATGTCAGAGCCCATGCCATGTGGCTGGCTTCCCTGCGTGAGCCCACGCCACAAGGACACGTTGGCCATGCTGGAGTCAGCAGGAACTTTAAGCACCAAGGAGGGGGCCAAGCCCAGGGGTCAGAGCAGGCTCCATTGTGCCTGCTGTGATTCTGAACCCCCGTCCACTCCGTGGCAGGAGCTTGGTGTAGAATCTCCCCCTGCTCCTTGTGTCCGGATGGTGTCCGGGGGTAAGTTCTCCTGCCCCGAGTGAGAGGAATTGAACCTCTCGTGGGGAGAGGAGCCCAGCCCTGGGCTTTCCCGGGCAGGCTCTTCCTCATTTGATGAAAGGAGGTTACCGCTGGGGAAGGAGGGACCGAAGACCTGTCCTCCAGCTATCTGAGAGTTTACCACATCGCAGGCTTCATTGCTGGGAGGCCGGGGCACCTGTGGATCTGTCGTCTCTCAGCAAGGATTTCCAGTTCCTTGAGAGAGCGAGCATCCTTGTAGAGCAGGCCTCCCTGCCCCAGGTGGTAGGTGGTTGCCAAAGGATTTCTTCCTCTCCTGCGTGGAGGAAAAGTTCTTTAGTGGTGGCTCTTTGCTAAGGAAGGCCATTTCTTCCTTGCTCTTCTGAAGCAAGAACCCCTTTGGAAGCCAGTTCGGGCTGGTCTGAAGCGGGGCTTAGAGGGCGGGAAGGCACAGACGTCCTCACGCATCGCTGCGGAAATGAGGGCCAACAAGGCTCTTTCCCCTCGGCAGTGAGCAGTTGGGGGAAGAAAGCCTGAGCCCCTCTGCTTAGAGGCTGGCAGGTTGGCAACATTGAGCTCTGTGCAGGAGCCCCTGCATGAACGGAGACGGAGGATGCCCTGCTGTTGGGGCCATTTTCTTTGCAGGGGGCACCCCTCACAGTCCCCTGCGAGTCCGCTGTGGTGCTGCCACCTCTAGAATCTTAGCGTGGGCGGAGCCTTCGTGGGCATCTGGCTTCTCATTTTGCAGAAGGTAGAGGGCTTCCACTCGCCTCCCAAGCTGTCCCTCGAGGCGACCCCTCACCGAGCGAGTGGGGACAATCCTGGTCCTGTGGCTGTCAGAAAGTCCCAGCAACATGCTAGCCAGATGCAGGGTGCAGAGGTTGCCTAGGGCCCTTGGCACCGGAAACTAAAGGTCGGTGCCGAGGGTCTTTGTGATTTGGGATTGGCAAGCTGTTTTCCTGTTTTAATAACTCCGAAGGGGGCCTGCCATCTGCAACTAGTCCCCACCCCGACCTCCAACATCCCTGCTGTTGTTGGGTCTCACTGATCAGGAGAAAAGCCTCGGAGCTGTTATTTCTTGAGCTTTTTTATTTTTAAGAGTTAACTTAAAAATAAAGGAGAGTGTTTATTGTGCACGTGGAAGTTCACAGAGCACATCAGTTTTCCATTCGATACTGGTCAAGACAGGGTTCCCTGATACGGGCTATACTCCTCACAGTGTGTCAGCACCCCCCCTCCCCCCCAATTTCTCCCTGGGCTCCCTGTTGCCTGTCATCTGGATGTTCTACCCCTTCCTGCCTCCTCACCTTGGCTTTTGGCAAATGTGGGCCTTTTGACCGCATATAATTGACTGCGCTCTGGGACTCGTCCTTCTTGGGCTTTGTCCATTCTTTGGGTCTGTCTACTGTTTACCCCAAAGATGGTCCCCAGGAACAGCCTCAATTCCAAGTCAGAAAGATATATCAGGACCAGCGTCTCAGGGGTGCCTCCAGGCTCGATCAGATTTCTAAGCCTCCCCAGCGGCTTGGATATTTTGTTCTACATTTTTCTCCCACTCTGAGCCTCTGTTGTGATCCCAGTCAGCAGGGCTGTGATGGCAGCCGGGCACCACCCAGATCTTCTGGTCTTGGAGTTGCGTGGGCTGTGGGTCACGTGGCCCTTTCCTCCCGGGGACTCATTGCTCTCTTGACTCTTCGGTTTCTTCATGCAGTCGTATCGTAGCTCACGAGCTTGGAAGACCCCAGGTGCTTCTCCTCCAAGGACACTGCAGCGCATCGTCTTGATGAACTGTGTTGAACCAGTTAACCTAGATGCCCCCGAGACAGATGCCTTTCACCTTTGAGTCTAGATGCTGGGTTGTAACTGAGCTGTCTCCATGCTGTACCCCTGCTGTGCACTCTTGGCTACAGACAGGCAATTGTGTGTGTGGAGATGTCCACGACCGCAGGTGGATGGGCCCCCTCTCGCCCTCCCCCACCCTTCAGCATCCGTATCTACCTATGGGTCCATTTGTCAGTGACTGTCAGACTACAGTGCAGGACGGTCTGTGTTACACTCGTGACCGTTGTTGTCGTCAGGTGCCGTTGGTCCTGACGCCCCGCCACCCCGTGTGTGACAGGACTAACACTGCCGGCCGTGGTTGAGCCCATCGCTGCAGCCACCGTGCCAATCCCTCTTGTCGGGGACCTTCGTCTTTGTCGCTGCCCTTTGTTCCCGCGTCCCTCTCAGTCGTCCCGTGCCTTGCTGGTGTTGTGTGGATCTCCCCGTGTTGGGCGCTGTCCTTCCCGTCACCATTCTGACCCAGGGTCTTCCCTCCACGTGGTTCTCCCTCCCTCCCCCGCCCACCTCTGGTAGCCTGCAAGGAGTATGTGTGCGTGAACCTTTTCATGTTTTGTTTTTAATAGTGATGCTCTCATATTTGCCCTTTTGTGACCGACGTCCTTCCCTCAGCATGATTCACCCTTGTTGGAAAAGGTTTTGTGGCTTCATCGCGATTCTTGTCTCAGAATACCCCTGAGAATGACGATGGTAAGATTTCCTCTCGGGCTCTTTGGACATGCTGTCAGGAGGGACCCGGGGAAGGACATCCTGCTTGGTGAATTCCGAGGGTCGGTGACAAAGAGGAAGACCCTCAACGAGATGGAGACACGGGGGCCACAACAATGGGTTCGATAGCCGGGGTTCTGAGGACGCCAGAGCTGGGCAGCGTTTTGCTCTGTGTGCTTCGGGAACAGGACCCGACTGGACAGCGCCCAGCCACAGCCGCAGCCCATGGTGCACGTGTCCCCCTGTCTGTTTGTCCGTGCACCTGTGGGTGGGCACTTAGGCGGTTTTGACTTTTTGCTGTTTTTAATAATTCTGCAATGAACGTGGGCTATCCACATGTCTATTTGGAGTTAACTCTTTAAAAAAAATCACCAGGGTTATAAACAAGGGTCTTTTGACACTCGTGAGTAACATGGGGATTGCAGCTGGCTAAGGTGCCATAGAAGCTGGTGTTTGGCGAGCAGTCATGCTTCTCAGTGTGTGTAGACATGTCTTTCTTGCTCCCGTCAATGAATGAGCCTTTCCATGGCAGGACAGGCAGCTCTGGCTGCTCACCCAGCCCCAGAGGTGGGGATCTTAAAGTCCAGCCCATCAGAGGCTGCCACAGGGGAAGTACCACCTGCCCTCCATCTAGGCCAGGGGCCAGGAGTCGGGCAAGTGTACATACATAATGGCATGCAGCTATCAGGGGGACGGTGATGGGAGCACGGCTAATTCTGTACTCTTCCTACTACTGCTTGAAAAATGTAACAAAATTGAAAAATAAAGAAACAGCCCCAGCCAGCAATGGACCCCTCCTGTGGTTTCTCCTGGTTTGTCTGGGGGCAGGGGCTGTGGGAGGGGGGGTGGATTTGAGGTGGCGGGACTTGCACACTTTGAATGAGCCC